AGCATCAATTAACCAGTTATTTCTTCTTCTTCTTCCTTTTTTTTTAATTTTTTATTCTTGAGCATAATAACAAGGTCAAATTAACACTAATCTCAAACGCACGCTGAAATTGGAAATTCTTTTATATTCATGCAAGTAATCGGGTTCCCTTGAGTGAGAAACATTTGCCTCCATGTGGCCCATCTTGTTGTGTTTTTACTCTTCAAAGTGTTATTCAGGGAAGGAAAAATGCAATGAAAATGCTGAAGAACTTGCTAAACGAAAGGCGGGCAATGCCCGGGAAGCACGGAAGTGACTTTGTTGATTTTGTCCTTGAAGAACTTCAGAAGGAGGGAACAATACTAACAGAGGCAATTGCTCTGGATTTGATGTTCGTGCTACTCTTTGCCAGCTTTGAAACAACTTCCCTGGCTCTAACTTTAGCCGTTAAATTCCTGTCTGACGACCCTTCAGTGCTGAAAAAATTAAGGGTATGTGAAATTATTCCAGCTAAAATCATTTTTTGCAAAATCCTCAGTGTTCTCCGAACAAACACAAACTTAAGTATTTCCACCTTACAGGAAGAGCATGAGGCAATTCTACAAAACCGGGTAAACACAGATTCTGGACTTACATGGAAAGAATATAAATCAATGGCATACACATTCCAGGTAAGACAGTTGTGCTTTAAACCACTAAGGACATTTATCATTTGCATAAGGCTGTTTGTTTCCATACTGACAAGTGCAACTTGCAGTTCATCAATGAAACAGTCAGACTGGCAAATATAGTTCCAGGAATCTTCAGAAAAGCACTAAGACAAATCCAATTCAAAGGTATGCATGCATTAAAAATGTTTGACCCACTTTCCAATTGTTATAAACAAGTTTTTTTTTTTCCATGCAATTGATATGAAAACTAACACATAAATTTCGGAAATGCAGGATATACCATTCCAGCCGGTTGGGCAGTAATGGTCTGTCCCCCAGCTGTGCACCTGAATCCAGCAAAATACCAAAATCCCCTCGCCTTCAATCCATCAAGATGGGAGGTGGGTGAATAGTGGAAACTCTATCCTCATTCACCTACGAGATTGCTACTAAAACAAATCCACATAAAATTTTACTTTGAAGCTCAAAACATTCTTCTACTTACTAACTGCAGGGAGTAGAAATAAATGGAGCCACAAAGAATTTCATGGCATTCGGTGGTGGCATGAGATTTTGCGTCGGAACGGACTTCACTAAAGTGCAGATGGCTGTGTTTCTCCATTGCCTGGTTACACAGTACAGGTAAGAGAGTATGCTAAACCAACTACAATATGCTCTATATCTGCTCATGAGCACAATTTGTTAGAGAGAGCAAGGGTTAGAAACTCACCTAGATCCTCAACCTTTCAGGTGGGAACCAATCAAAGGAGGAAATATACTCCGAACTCCAGGTTTACAATTTCCAGATGGTTTTCACATCCAGCTCATGGAAAAAACTAGAATGGGGTAATTTTACAGAAACGAGGCACAACAATATCAATCCAAGACAGGCTAAGAGGCAAAAACACCAAAATATTCCAAGTTTCCAACTTTGCATCTTACCAGTCAGCCTTGCTTTTATTTATTTTTTCTTGGACTGCAGAAGAGGATAACAGTTGTCAATACGTAGGAAAATTTAGAAAATAGAGAGCTGATTGTAACTGTCTCCTCTCCTAGCAACACTAAATCATAGTTTTACCAATGCTGGTATACAAATTTTGTAATCTTGTCATATACTTGAGAAAAATGGGAAAAAAAGGAAGAGGACTATGATAATATAACGGGTCTTACTTGCAATATTGTACATTTTCTTTTCTAAATTTTAGCTTTATTATTAGGATTCTACATAAAGAACCATGAAGAGTTCACGATTTCCTCCATTTCCTCAAATGAAAGAGGAAAAAAGGCAACTTTTCATCTTCTGCTTCTTGGTCTAGTGGCAAGAAGGTTTACGAAGATATGTAAGGTGCGAGTTCAAACCCCACCATCCCTATTCCTATCCTGCAGACCCAAAAAAAAAAGCAACTTTTCAGCCATGCAACTTCAACCGTGAGTCATCTAACAGCCCAAATCTGAACTCAAACTTTGTCTCGCTTCTAATCCTCAATTGTCTTTCTATCGTCTCTATTGTGCCCTTCCGTGCTTTTGGTGCCCAACAAAATAATTTTTCCGACTGTCCCAGTGGACTTTCTGTATGACTCTAGAACTTTTGACTCGTCTATGTTTGTGCTTGTCCTTGTCCCAGTGAACATGATGCAGATAATAATAATAATAATAATAATAATAATAATAATAATAATAATCAGTGTCCCTTTCTGAATGGTTGTGTCTGTGCTTATGGTGAATGCTGCTTCGTTTATACCAAGAATCATGTTCGTGGCGCTTAGCTTTAATGTGGAAGTGGCCAATAAGAATACCGTGTCCGTGGATATCTCTGATTCTCTGATCATCAAACCCAAAATGATCTTCCCACCAGTCATAAAGAGGATCAAAGAATCCTTTCTGATGTAAAAGCCATAGCAACACAAGCACTGCAATTAAAAATAAAATGCAATATAAGCGTATTCTTGCATTCTCCCTATCTTGTGTTGATAAGAAAGAAGGTTTTACCAGTCGGATGTAAACCAAACAGTACTATCCAACTCACACAGATGTACTGTATGTGACAACTTAAGTCAAAAAAACCAGAGCATTTCCTTCTGCACAACAAAAGGAAGCAAGTGTATAATTGACACAACCGCATCATAAGTGATTAAGGTTCAATTCAAATTAAAAGAAGAAATGGAAACATGTAATGTAATTGCCAGAATAACCTGCACGTTTCTCCAGTGATGAAGTGCACCAAACTTTCCTACAGGTTTTTCCAAAATTTTCCAAGTAACTCAAAGAAACCATTTATGCCCGAGGAGATAGAGGAGTAGATTTGTCTAAGGACTGGGTTACCTATCCGAGCTCAAAAGTATGTCCAAAATTTAAGTAGATTTGGATATAAATTTTAAAACTGTTAAATAGATCTGAACTTAAAATTTAAATTTGTTTAAAAAATAAGCCGAACCTTATATATGAAGTTTAAAGTTTGGATTCGTTTTGAATATAACTATTATATTATATATATATATATATATATATATATATTAGTTCATATTTATATTATATAAAAATAAATAATTAAATAATATATATATATACATTAATATCTTATATATTAATCATATTCAAACATTAAATTAAATTAACAAAGTATATTTTAGATTTTATTTTATTAATTATTTATTTTATCATAGCTAATATTTACAATAAATTTTATTTTATTTTTATTTGAAAAAATTAAAATATCTGAGTGCTTGATGAGCCTAGATAGTCTTTAAAAATTGAGTAGATCTTGAACGGTAAAATGATATTTTTATTTCAAATCGAATCAAATTTAAATAAATTTAAAACTTAATAATACTCTATTTAGTTTCAGCTCAAATATAATCTTACCTGACCTATGAATAAATCAAGAGAATGGAGTGAGGTGGGGATTTTCAAGGCTGATGTCGTGTGGGATCCAGCTCTCAAAATTAAGTTTCTATATATATATATATATATATATATATATATATATATATTTATTTATTTATTTATACTTATATTTATATTTATATTTATATAAATGTGTGTGAAATTTTACGCGCGAAAGATAAATAATAGATGATGGGTATTTGAGATTAGTTTTATGATTTCATATGAAAATTTAAGATGGCTGTTAGTTCTTAATTAGTGAATTTAATATTTTGTTACTTTAAAACATGTACATTTAGAAAGAATTAATTTTGATATTATAATGTTATTGTTAATTGATTTTTTTTTGTTGAGTTTGATTATGGTTAGGCTACTATTACTATTACATTATTTTGTCAATTAGTTATTTAAATTGTTCTATTTGTGTATTTGATTTGGTAGTAAAGTACATGTATCTATACTCAAAGAATTAGATTTAAATCCCTTTGTTGCAATAATTGTATCTTATAAAAAAAATTTAAACGTTATAATTAGATTAATTTATGATATTAATTTCATAATAATATTTTGTTAATTATATGCATTTATACTATTTATGTCCATAAAATTCATTAAATATATTAATATATGCATATTAATATAATTAAAAAAGGCAAATTATAAATGAAAAAAAATGTCACAAATTACTTTAAATATCATAAATTGGATTATATATCTTCCAATAAAATTACCATTATAATGTCATTAATATATACATATATTTGTATGTATTATTACATAAAAATTTTTTTTATCAATTCACTCATTGAGTTAGTCCCAATTAACTTGGGACACCAATTCAGCTAAAACTTTTAAAGGCTAAAATAATAAAAAAAAAATTTTAAAATTTACGATTTTATTTAAATCAACTCTTATATTTTTATTACATCTAAATAAGTTTTTAATTTTTAATTTATATCTAACTAAGCCCTTAACTTTTAACTTGTATCCAAATAAACCCTTAAATTTTTAATTTATACTTAAATAAGTTTTTAATATAAATTATTTTTTCATTTAAAATAAGAATTAATTGGATACAAATCAAAATATAAAGGCATAGTTAGATAAAATAAAAGTATATCAGCTTATTTAAAAAAGGTATATTAGCTTAGGATTTTTTTTATTATTTTAGTCAGTTTTAAATATAATATGAATTTTATTTTAAAAAAACTTATTTTTTTCAATATTTTTTTCTCGTATATGTGTTTTTTATTTTAAACTTTTTTTTTTCACCATGTAATGGATGTAGCAAAATCTAATTGAATTAATATATTTTAAAAAAAAATTGAGAGTTGTAGTTAAACCTAATTCTTCTTTTTGATGTTATGGCTATTATATGTTGTAAAATTAAGTAAATAAATGAAGTTTAATCCTTAATCTTTTTATTAGGGAGATGATAAGTAATAGTAATCATTAAACAAAGTTTAAATTTGAGTGATTAATAACACAAACAATCAAACCTGATATTTGATTAGGCATGAAAATAATTTGAATTTTGTAAGGCTCGGAAGATTAATTAGTAAAAAACAAATACAAAAGATTGTTTTTTTTCAGTAAACAAATGGAAGTATAGTGATGGATCGAGTCATGGTTTAATTTTTTTTTTATTAATTGCTCAATTATTGGTTCGGTTTGCAATCTTTTCTGTCAACCTCTGATCACCCATCATGTAATTCTGACTGTCGGATTCTCATTAATTGTCAAACGCGTTCCAAACATCAAAAGCTCAAAACTGATTGATCAGGACACGTAATTTAGTGCCGAACACAGGTGAATGTTTCTCTACAATATGACCAATTCCACATCTGCAAGTTGTAAAAGAACCGGAGAAGGGGTTTTAGACTTTGAGCACAAGCAACCAAACCACACTCCCACTTGCTTCGTTTCAATTTTCAAAGCAATGGCGGCAGGGGTAAGACATGTAATTTAAAGCTCAAATTCTATACATTTTCGTCAATGGCTGCCAGTTTCCTTAACCATCCAACGGATTCTCATTAGTTGTCAAACGCGTTCCAAACATCAAAAGCTCAAAACTGATTGATCAGGACACGTAATTTAGTGCCGATCGCAGGTGAATGTTTCTCTACAATATGACCAATTCCACAGCAGCAAGTTGTAAAAGAACCGGAGAAGGGGTTTTAGACTTTGAGCACAAGCAACCAAACCACACTCCCACTTGCTTCGTTTCAATTTTCAAAGCAATGGCGGCAGGGGTAAGACATGTAATTTAAAGCTCAAATTCTATACATTTTCGTCAATGGCTGCCAGTTTCCTTAACCATCCAACGGCAAACTGACTTTCTAAAAATATCAAATCCCTTGCCTAATTCGCCTTTGAGTTGCCAACATTACATTTGTCCGCACCTGATGGCTTCCCTTTGCCGGCCAAGACACGTGGCGAACGCCCTTTGACCGCACGATTTGTACCCAATAAATATTACTAATTTAAATGAAATAATTTATTTCTGAAAACAAATACGAAAAGCGACCACTGTGTAATAAACTATACTACAATTATCAAAAGCTAAACAAATTTGCCATCAGCAAGCTTGCATCCATCTCCCGGGAATCACCACCGGTGAGTGATTCAATGGCTGGAGACGAGTCAGTAGCGAGTCTTTACAGAGTCTTAGTGGACCGGTGCCTGAGTTTGGAAGCGAGTCATGCTAAGTTGAGGGAAGAGTTTGACGAGCTTGTGCAGCAAGATAAAAGCAAAACAGATGAGGTGGTGGTGGCGTCAGATTCAGGCGATGACACGTCAGATTCCGGCTCTGTAACGTTGCCTGGGTACTTTTCAACGGGAAGTCCTTTTAGAAACGTGTTGGAATCCATTGGACATGCTGTTCATGTTTGCTCAGCTGCTTCGGGAAAGATTACATTTTGGTATTACGAAAAACACTTTTTTAAGGTTTTAATTGATTTTTTTGAGTAGTTCTCGTGCTTGTTCTTTTTGAAAAAGATTGAATCTTGTTGTGGGTGTTTTTTTCTTGTCTTGATCAAACAGTTGCATATTTTTAGAAAGTCCAAAGGTCAATTATAGTTGGTAGACTTTAAAAGGTTTTTTGTTGTAAAGGTTAATGTTTTTAATTAGAGGAAATTTGGAAATTAGTTCAAGTTACTTAACTTTTTTTTTTTTTAAAGTATAAGTCATGATTGAAATGGAAGTCTCCCTCGGGACTAGCTGTAAGTTGACTTTCAATGAATTTTATAGTATATATGAATGTGAATGCAATGAAGATTGGGTTTCTTTTGGATTCTTTATTTGCATTCTTATTATGGTGGCATAGTTTTAAAGTATTGTTAAGATGTCTGATAGAAGTTCACATCCAAACCCGGTTTTGTTTTCTTGCAATCTTCTCACCTGGAGGAAGTTAAAGTACACATGTTAGAGTTAGTCAATCTTAAAAATGACTGGCACTTGCTTTATGCAAGAAATTTATTGGTATCAATTAGTTTCAAGAATTAATTTCTACAACTGCTAGTCAAAAGATTCCCAAACTAGTTCTCACAGCCACATTCATATCAAAATTTTCACCTAGTATTCTACGAATTTCCATAATTGATAGTCCAAAAAGTTGCAAACTGGTAATAAGAACTAGAAACATGATTGTACTACATATGTTTCCTCCTTTTAGTCCAACTTTTTTTTTTTTTGAGTGGTTGTTTAATGATCAAAGTTGTATGTGCATCTTTCGTACAAGGGATTGTGTCACCTAGATCCATAATTGGCAGGCTTTTAGGCAAAAAGCCTTTGATTAATAAGGATAATGAAAGCAAAATCAAACAATCAATCAATTACATAAGAGATAATAATTTAACATGTTTTAATTTAACCGACCTACATCCATAGATGAAAAAAAAATCCACTAATTATAAAGAATTACAAACATATATCAAATCAATTTCACTCAACAATTAATATCCACAGGCTCTCTCAATCTTTTTTAATTTTATGGAGTATTCTAAACACAAACAAATATACATCCATATACACCATTTTATTATAAACAAACAAATATCCATATGCACTCATGTATTATATCTATATGGACCATCCTAGTTTCTTCTAGTTCACTCACAAATATTCAAATATGCACATCTATAAGATATAAATCTCCAATCCTATAGGGTGTTTATCCCATAAAACCCTTATAATTTTCTTACATTTTTTTTCTCACACTTAATCTCATAGAGACTTTATCTATTTATAAGCATACAAACTTGCCTATAAAAAATCTCTTTCTTCTTAAAATTTTTCTTTTACAAGTTTCTTATCTATAAATTAATAATTAACCAATTCCAAACAAATCTTTTATAGGATTTGAGACTTTATTAATTTATAAACATATAAACTTACCTATCAAGAATCCATTTGCTTTTAAAATTCTTATTTTGCAAGTTTCTTATCAATAAATTAATATTTAACCAATCCCCAACAAATTTTTTTATAGAATTTGAATCGTTATTTCCAACATAGGCAAGAATCGTTTCGGCATTTTGTGTTTTCCACATGCATCTACGTACATCTAGTAAGTTGAAAGCTAATAATGGTGGTGGTTATTGCCTTATGTCATACAATGATAATTAATTCTCCATTTCAGAAGTAGGAAAGATAGTTTAGAACTAACTGAAGATTGTCCCCCAAGAAAACACACAATTCATTAGCACTTTAAAGTAGATACCAACAAAGAATAAGATGATGTCGATTTACATAACATTTAAAGGTGCAGTCCCACTATCCTACATGAATCTTTCTGAGGTTTATTCCGTCAAACAAGAATAATAAAACTTTTTCTAAGATGTTTTTTTATTCAATTCATTTGTGTTGTTCTCTGTTTGTGATATATGTATACTCAACTATAGACTCATTAGATAGCCTTTTGGTTCCTGAGGAATGTTGCAAAGTGTCTTTAATTTACATAAAATGTAATAAGAACAGTGGTACAATATTGCTCCTCAAACTTTGGAAAATTGATATTTTATCTTTGTTGCTTGTTTCTCAAGGTATATTATACAGAAGTTACAAAGACAAGTTCAGTGTTGGAATCACGAAATTTCAGTATGCCTATACAGTGTATTCAATTAAGTTTAAAGTGCAGCAATAGAAGCCAAGACCAAACTTTTCAACTCATTTGAGATTATTTATGCATGCTCTGTTTCAGAGAAAATGCATCTTCGAGCTGGCTATTAATATTGTTATGGCATAAAAGGTCTTATTGCAATTTATCTAATAGTCTGCCATTAAGATTGAAAATTTTTTTTTTACTGAATCCTTTCATTACACGTTCATGGAATCATACATCACTTTCAAGTTGTGCAGCTGATAAAGAAAAGGGTTCTCTTACCACAGGAATCGGTCAGCTGAAAATCTTTTCGGATGGAGGTCGAATGAAGTCCTTGGACGAAGAGATACAGAGTTTCTTATAGCTGAAGAATACAATGCGCCACTAAAGAAAATTATGGAGAGATTGAGCTTTGGGCAATCATGGTCAGGTCAGTTCCCTTTCAAGAGGAGGTCAGGTGAAATGTTTATGGCGCTGGTGAGCAAAAGCCCATTATACGAGGATGGTCAGCTCACTGGTGTTATAACAGTTTCCAGCGATGCAGCTGTTTTTAATGGTATAAATTCAGAGAATGTGGGAACATATCAGGATCATGGTAGACTAAAGAGGTTAAAGATGAAAAGGATCGATTTGCATCCACCACGGCCACAGCTTGCATCATCCGTTTCTATTCTGGTGCTTATGTATAGCATTACTACAGCTTTGCCCCATTTCTATTTAGATTCTATTTTTCATTTTCTGAAAAGCTTGACATTTTGCACTGATGAAACACCCAGGCCTCAAGGTTTCTACTCAAGAAACAAGGTGGCATAAGCAATGCATGTAGTAATTCAAGGGAAAAAGGGGATGCTGCAATAAGTACTAAAGACAAGTTAGAGACACGTAATACAGTAGTAAGGCTCTGTTCTGTCTTCTCAGCTGCTTCTATATATCTGTAAAGCAGATATCTAACTTATTCTTTTTGCGTTCCTCATTTGTATTATCCAAGGAATGTGAATTTAACTCGAATTCCCGTGAAGGGAGGAACACAGCTGAAGGAATAAGCTCTCAAGGGGATGAAAATGAATTCGATTTTGCTCAACCTTCAAGAATCGTATTGACATTCTTTCACCTTATTTTGTTATAAGCTCTGTCAAACAAGTGTTTGAATGACTTTGGATATCATAGTTATTTTCCCATTGCCTTGCATCTAACTCATTGTTGTCAGTTCATCTAGATAATTAATCAGAAGTTCCGAACTCATTCTTTAGGTTATTTTACCTTATTTCCAATTGTGTATGCTTGTTTTTATCTTGATTTGAACTGTTTCTGAACTCACTAAAAAGCAGAAGAGTAGACATTATCATGGTACCAGCCTACTAAATATTGCATTCATTTTATCCTGAAGCAATTCTACCTCTCTGTCTATATCTTCTGCCTATCGTTGACACTTTTGCAAAATATGTGGTGGGATGACTGTAGACTGCAAAAATCTTGGCAAAACTTCACATCAGGGAAACTAGCAACCACAGCAACGAAGATGATGAAGGTCTTCAGAAAAAGGGTGCAACTAGTAGATTGGCAAAGAATGATGTGACAGATGAACATAACGTTCATAGAGGTTCAAAGGCATCAACTCCAAACCACTTCAATTCTTTCTCTGCAACTGAAAATGCAATTTTAAGTGTACGGAAGCACACAAGTCCAGCATCTGTTGAAGAGAAATCTGTTGTAGACTCTTTAAGAGAGTGCAATGGACATTTTTCAGTAACCAGAATCGGAGATTCTACTGCAGGGCTTGTGTGCCAATTAAATAAAAACAAATTGGAGCTAGAGTCTCCTAATATTAATGCTTTAGAGATGGAAGATGAATTACAAGAGCACACAGACGGTAAAAACGTATCAAGTTTAGGGGAGAGCATGGGCAGCGAAGGAACTTCATCGAGTAAAGGGGATAATGAGCCAAACTCTATGGTTGATTGTGATATTCTCTGGGAAGACCTACATTTGGGGGAGGAGGTTGGACAAGGTAAACTTCTTAGCTACAACATGCATAAAATGCCCGCATGCTGGGGCACTTCAGTGGAAAAATAGTTTGATCGGTATAGATATGGATTCTTGTATGGTTTAAGAAACCTGCCTCTGGTTCATGTTTTAAATGAATTTCAAGATACATGTCTGAGTAGCAATTACTTGAAACTAAACCTTTTTAAAGGTAGTTCAATATTATTTTTGTTACAGCTCCATGTTTAAAATGATGTTTCCAAGAAGTAGGTTTGTCATTAAATAAACTCCAATATTGTTCATTGGATGCACTATTTTTACTTTCTTTACCATAAGAGCAATGATAGCATACATGTTACAATTTTTCTAATAAACCTTTTAATTTGTTTGTTTTTGCCTTCAGGCTCATGTGCAATTGTTTATCGTGGAATTTGGAATGGATCAGTAAGTCCTTTCACTCCCTAGTTTCTCAATTTCTTTTTCCAATCCAAATAAGCATGTAAAAATATTTACTAACATGAACAAACCCGAAGGATGTTGCCGTTAAGGTCTATTTTGCAGGTGAATACAAAGAGTCAACATTACTAGATTACAAAAAAGAGGTACTCGTGAATATTTTTGGGTTTCCGGCATCAAATGTCATGTGAGAAATGAAGCTCTGATCCTTGGATTTCTTTTTCTTACAATTAGATTGATATAATGAGAAAACTGAGACATCCAAATGTACTGCTGTTCATGGGAGCAGTGTACTCACAAGAGCGGCCTGCAATTGTCACAGAGTTCTTGTCTAGGTAATGAGGGGTTATTTTGTCGAAGATGTGCTCAACCAATGATCCTCTGTTAATAGTTCGATCTACGTTTGATGTTTCAGTGTCCTATTTTATTCTTTTCCCACCATTTCTTATGCTTATGCAAGGAATGCTTGGTATTGCATGAGTTCTTTTCCACCACATCTCTTAGGGATCAGCTCCTATAGAAGTTCAATGCATACTGTTCCTTTCATGATGATGAGATATGTCCCTTTCATATTTATTTTGTTCCATAATCAGGGGAAGCCTTTTCAAAACACTTCACAAGAATAATCAAGCATTGGACGTTAGAAGGCGTATGAGGATGGCCCTTGATGTTGTGCGTTTTCTATCTATCTTTCCCTTCTTTTCAAGTTCTCTGCTTGTTAGCTGTCAAATAAAAACTGCTGTCCCCTTTTTTCTGCAGGCTAGAGGCATGAATTATTTGCATCATAGGAATCCGCCAATAGTGCATAGGGACCTGAAGTCTTCCAACCTCCTTGTTGATAGAAATTGGAATGTCAAGGTAGCATATATTGGTTAATGCCTTCTAATAGTTCGATTAGGTTTAATCATTTTTAGATTGCTTACAGTTCATTTAATGTCTAAGGTTGGAGACTTTGGCCTGTCAAGGTGGAAAAATGGAACTTTCTTAACCACAAAGTCTGGAAGAGGAACAGTAATGATCCCTTCTGCTCCTTATTCTTTTCAGTTCCTTAATAGATCTTGTAGCGGCAATAGTGTCAAGTGGAATATCCTACAGTGCCTTTTTTTTTTTCCTATTTGTTGCATCAATGTTGTACATAACAACTACTTACCATACAACAAGTTGCTTATGTTCTTTCTATTTTTTCTCATTGCAGCCCCAATGGATGGCCCCAGAAGTCCTCAGGAATGAACCTTCAAATGAAAAGTAATTTCTGGAAACTAGGCTTGAGGTTTCCCTGTTAAAGACATTAAGACTTAAGTTACCCTTCATATTTTTCTCCCTGGTTCCTTGTTTTATTCTAGGGGGATAATCACACAATGCTGACATCAATCTGAACAGGTCTGATGTATTCAGTTTTGGAGTTATCTTGTGGGAATTAATGACTGTCTCCATTCCATGGAACAATTTGAACTCTTTACAGGTATTCACCTTAACACTAAAACAACTTTTTGTTACAAAAACTACATAAAACTCTTGATATCTTAATCTCTACTCCCTAAAACCACAATGTAGGTAGTTGGAGTTGTAGGCTTCATGGATAGGCGATTAGACCTACCAGAAAGCGTTGATCCTCAGGTAGCATCTATTATCCGTGACTGCTGGAAAAGGTATGTCAATTTTGCTCCATTTCCTTTCAGTTTTCCAAACATGGAAACTTGGAAGCCAATAAAGAAAACTAACCCTTTGTCGTGTTCAAACAAACAGTGATCCAGAAAGCCGACCATCTTTTGAAGACATAATCAATAAAATGACAGGTATTGTCCCGAAATCTGCAACAGGGTTGTCTCGACGGAGCTCAGAGTGTTGAATCTGCAATGGGCTTAGGACCAATGTTACTTCCTCACTTATTGGATAGCTATACTTGGGCAGTTAGGCTGCAGAAGAAATCAAACAAATCAAATGTACAAATAACTTGGTAGCTTGTTCTTAACTTTCCTCGCCCCATTTTGAAAGAAAAATAGGGAAAGGGGAGGACCCGGAGGGGTTGAAATGTAAGATTTTGAAGTATTTTTTTTTAAACAAAAACGAAGTTACAATAATTTTTGGATTTGGGAAGATTGAATTATGCTCCAACCAATTGAATCCAATGTTTTGGGGTGCAACAAAGCTATAATAATTAAAACATGGTTTTTGTCCGGAAGTCTGTCAATCCTAATATAAACTGAACAAAATGTAAAATGGCATAATATTCAATGCAGGCCCAAGAGGGTAGAACAAAACCAAAAGGGCTCAAACCTCATTACACAACCAATCGGTCTTTAACTACTTCAGACAGAACATGTACTTGAGAAAATAAGTAAATAACAAGCTCCTCTGCTCTAGAACTGTTTTTGGCTAATCTTCAAGCACAAATTCTAAAAGATTCTTGAATAAGTTGATCAATAGATCCTTTACTGTCGGTGCCGAGTTTCCAGTTAAAGATAAAAATAGATGATATTTTTTGTATTTGCATTCTAACGTTCAAATTAGAGATATACAGCAAAAGTCGAAATGAGAAAAAATTAAGGATATATAAGTAAAATGGGTAATAAAATGATAGTACTTAGATATTTTTATTTATAAGCCCAAGATAAGGGGTCTACGAGATTAAATAATCATTAAACATGTCATTAAACATGACATTGAATATATTAGATTCGCCTAACATATTAAATCGACTTAAAAATCCAAAATACCTCTAATTATTTACTAATAATTTTTTATAAGAGAAATAACCACAAATAAATACCCCTAACATCTCCCATATATGGTTTCAAAAGATTCAGCTTCATAGCTATGCATGGCATATGAAAAAGCAGAAAAGTGTCCAATAAATCAAATTCTTTCTCATGACATAGTACGGGCCAAAGCCCAACATCGACAAGCATCCAACTTCACCCTCCTATAAAAGCCTGAAAACAAGAGAAAATTGCCATTCTTGAACTGTTATGATTTTTAAGGAAAATTGCAAAAAAAAAAAAAAAGAAGTTGGAAGACAAGTAGATGGATGTCGGCAAGAGGCCACGATATATTTTTTGTGGATTGTGTTTGTTGGTGTCAAAGGGAAAAGTCCAAGATGTCTACGTTTGTTGATCCTTCTCATCCGTCCGATTTTTAGACCCCAAACACCGACCCTACCTTCTGTCTGTTTTTGACCATGTGTTTTGATTTATTTCTTCTCTCAACTTCCAAATCCAATTCAATTGGTTGGCAAGCCATTATATTTCATGCTACGAGCCAATGGACATAGTGATATTGTATTCTCCATTGAAGAATGACTTCTGGGTAGACCATAATTCCTGTATACATTAAGCAGTAGGGCATGGTCACCTATAACCACTTTTGGCTGTTTCTTTTCTTCAGCGTTCAGCATGAAGACCCCTGCTAAAAATGACTATCTGAGATTACATTTCCAAGAAAATTTGGCCCGTGAACTCTCAGAAAAAGATTCATTTTGGAGACTACAACAAAGGGTCTATACTCTAGACTTTACAGAAATTGATACTTACCATAATCTATTTCAAGGGCAGCCAACTAGGATCGGCCATTGCCACTTCGAACAGTCTGTCAAATTAGACACTTCTAGTCCTAAACACACCTCAAATGTTAATGAAGAGGATCATTTCCAAACTTTGGTTAAACTAAAAATTCACATCAAAATGAGATTAAACGAAAATCTTAGTAGTATTATTATGTTTGTGAATGAATATAGAAATCCTTCTCTTTTGTGTATTTCCCTACATTCTGATAAGATATCTTTCAAAAAGTGAAAAAGAACAAATACAGATAAGCCTTAGCTCTTTGAACAAACAATTCTTTTTTCAGTCATTTCTTGATCATACAGATCTTGACACTTGCTTTATATATAGATAGTACTACTAGTAGTCTAGTCTTTTTGTTTTTGTTTGTTATCATCATATATAAGACCGGGGCCTCCCATGCTGATGTGAGAACTCACCCGAAGATAGCAAAGCTACACTGCAAAAACATCTAACCTTCCTGTTAAAAAAGGCACATGACTGCACAAAATCTAATCGTATCCACTTGATTAACCCATCGGGTGGGATCACGAGCCATCTTAATTACCAACATCTTCTCATTTTCTTCCTTATGTGAGGCTTACCCACTTGTTACTGTTCCATGATCGAATTCGGTTGATCCTTCGTGGGTTGAATTATTGGGTTTTTATTAGTATCTTTTATCTTTAATTAAGGGAGTTGTGACAATGTAAATCCAGAGACCTGAGGCAGGCATGCTGTTCTCTGGAAAATGGAAATGTTGAAAAGCATTTTAGCTTTATCCTCTTCAGTCTCTTCGGCTCTGACTGAGTATTCACGGGCTCTAACTTTCTGGTTGGGCTGATTGCCATTGACCCCTTTTTTTTTTTTTAATAAATGTATTAATTCATTTATTTATATAGCGTGTCTCATATAAATTATATGTAAATAATAATTTTTATAAATACATCAAATAAAAAATATATTTTTTATTTTTTATCAAATTTATATAAAATATTTTTTTAATTTTAAATCCCATTATTTTTATATTTTATCTATCATATTTTAAATCATCAAATTAAAAAATACTATTAGATATATTCGGATTTTGTTGGTCATAATTTTTTGTATCTGAAAAAACACATTCTTTATATTATAATTTGTTATTTTCATAGACACTAATGAAGTACGGAAGCTGTGTTGAATATGGTATAATTTCTACAATTAAAGGTACGGTGGCAATGACGCTCAACCACCCCAAGAAGAATCCAATTCTGATCTTCACATGTCTCATAATTAAGTTATTGGTTAGGACAGAAATTACTGTTAATTCTTGACTTTAACTTTGACCTTTTCTTTAATAAAAATGATATCTTAACATGAAAATATAAGAAAGACAAATTTATTGAATAACTTTTTTTGTAAAATAATAAATAAAGTTAAAATTATAATAAATATTATATTTATATATTAAAAATCACTTAATAATTAATTAATAAATTTAAATATAATTAAATAAATCTAATATAAAATTAGAATCACTCTCATATATAATAAAACTTAAACCGAAGATTTTATCTTAATTATTAAGCTAAAATCCCTTTTAAAAATATTATACAAACCAATTAAATTAAACTTTAATATATGTTTTTCTAAGAAATATGTTCACACTTTTTGTCCATAGATAATATATGAAGATATTATTCCCTCAATTCATTAATAATGTTTTTAATTTAAATTGTAACATTAAATTTGTCATTTTAATTTTAATTTATTTTAAAAATTATAATAATTAATATAAGTTGTTTAGACTGAAAAAGTTGCAACTTCCTATAATTACTCCCTCCGTCCTGTGATATAAAAATTTCTGATTTATTTTTACAAAGTTTTAAAAAAACGTTTTAAATTAAAACATTTAAGTGTTTAAAAATATATAATTTTAAGATATTTAAAAAAAATTAATATATGATACATTATCAATGAAAATTTTTAATTACATAAATCAAATTAAAAAAGATGACACATATCTTTTTTTAATTATATTTTTATTTTTTAAAATATATTTAAAAGATATATGTTGCTTTATTAATTTCATTTATATAATTAAAATTTTACATTAATAACTTATCAAATACTAATTCTTTAAAAAAAAAAAAAAATAGTAGGGGAAGAGTATTATTCTTTTTACAAAAGTTCATTTCTCATAAAATAAAAATAAGCCTCACTCCGTCTAATATATATTTTTATACTGTAAATCTTCACATTTTTTGTTCATAGATAATATAAAAAAAATATTATTCCCTGTATTCATAGTAATGTTTTAATTTAAATTGTAATATTAAAAATTTTATTTTTATTTTAATTTATTTAAATATATAATTAGTATAAGTTTTCAAAACTCGAAAAAGTAAAGTTTTAGCATAATTACTCCCTCTGTCCCATTGTTAACAAACAAAATCGGACGTATAATTTCCGCATTGATATATACAAAACCATTTATCTCTCCGTCCTTTTCTCGCACATTCCATTTCCTGCTCTCAACAAACTTACGAAAATTTTCCTCTCTGCAAATGCATCCCAATAGACCTCCTAAACCCATTACTCTTTCCTTCTTTCAAATCCGGCGTTAAACCAAGTTAAACAACACAACGAACAGAGGAAGAAGAAGAAGAATAAAAAAAGATGGGCAAAGCTTCCAAGTGGTTTCGCAGTATCCTTGGCCTCAAAAAGACCGACTCCCATCACCAATCTCCTTCTTCCAAACCTCCCCATAAAGACAAACGCCGTTGGAGTTTCGTCAAATCCTACCGCGAGAAGGACTCCTCCGCCACACCCACTACCAAACACGTCTCCACGAACTGCTGCGGTAACAGTAATGCGAGGTCGTCGTCGTTTCTGTACGGTCGTCAGCAGCAGCAACAGAAAGATGCTGTTTCTCTTGTTGACGTGAACGGTGAGTGTGAAGTGGTGGATCCTAACAAGCACGCCATCGCTGTGGCTGCCGCTACTGCCGCGGTTGCCGAAGCGGCGGTTGCGGCTGCTCAAGCTGCCGCGGCGGTGGTTAGGCTGACCAGTAGCAGTGGTAGGTGCGCGCATGAACCGGCGGCTCACATTAGCAGCAGCAGCAGCTGTGGGGCACGCGAGGAGATTTCTGCGGTTAAGATACAATCTGCATTTCGTGGATACCTGGTTAGTTTTTTTTTTTTTCTTTGTTAATATTGATTTTGGTGAAAATTTCGGGGATTAACAGATAACAACCTGTTGAATGCATGACACGTGTTCTTTGTGCTCATTTAGTCCCCCAACTCTTCAGATTCCGAGGTGTTGAATTTGTTGAACCTGTTTCATTTTCATATTTTATTTTACTTATTCCAGAGCAATAAAAAAGAACAAAACACGAAAAAGTATAGGAAGCAAAACTAAGAACTACTTTGTTCCCATTACTCAATTTAGTTCTGCAAGATTCGCGTTATTACAACAAACGATGTCGTTTTCTAGCTCGTACTTCCTCCCCAGCCAGTGGAAAGCAAAAGAAACTACCGACCAGGCTTCCATTTTCTTACGTCTGAGTTGTTTCTCTTATGTCGTTTATATCCAAAAAAAAAAAAAAAAAAACCCTTTCCATTTTAAAACCACTATATAAACCAGACATGTCGTCTCCATGCACCGGGTTGTTCAATGCGCACCCCCCCCCCCCCGGCACCCCAATTATAAAATGCCGCTTTTGGATCTCTGCAAATATCATCTGCAAACTTTTACTTTAGAAATTCCCCCCTCTTTTCTGTAGTCATGGCGTTTTCAAACATTTAATGAGGCAGAATTTAGTTCTTGAGCTTGTGGGGGTGATTCAGTAATTTGATTCTATTTATGGGGTTATTTAGGTAATCTTCCATTGTATAGTAGTACTATAATTATAGTGAGTCAAGTGGATTATCTAATTTTAGATGTTAATTAATGTGGATTAGTTAGTTTATTGATGAATGTTGTGGACTATTGCTGTCTGATTAAAGAAAGCTTGTAAGGATGCCCAACAACTCTTTTGCCACGGTCAATAATTATGCAATAATTTATTAACTTACCCAATTAAGAGTCAACCCAATTGTCAGCATTTTCTGATCAGAATACTTTGAATGCGATGATGGAACTTTTTTGAGAAATAGATGACCTGGATCCAAGCATTTCTTTGGTTGAAATCTTCTGGTATTGGCAAATTTTGTGATTTCTGAAAGGGGTGGGGGTCCAAGACCAGTGGAAATTTTTGTTGTGGGTAATATATGTGTTTGCTTAAATGCATTTGTATGACTTTTTGGAGATGATATAAAAGCTTGGTGTTATTACTTGGGTACTTTAGGTTGAATGTGGATTACAAAACCCTTCACCTATTGTCAGAGCCTCCTGGGGAATGCTTTTGCCGGGGTGATAGGGCAGCTATTGGGACGTCCTTTTCCCCTTTCATATTATGTCTGATTTTTAAATTTTTTGGAAAAATGCTAGAAATACCAGTATATTACTATGAATATCTTCATGGCGCCTGCTACCTTTAAATTTTTCATGCCACTGGTACTTGTTTTCTGCATCTTGCCATGGCGCCAGATTTTAAAAATTTCATTACATATTAAAGTAGTTCAATAAATGATTCAATGTGGTCCTGTTAACTTGTCTTTTGAACCTTGGGTTGCTAGCTTTTTGTAATTGCCCTTTATTCCAGACCAGATGGTTCCTCGCCTTTTCATTTGCTTTTAGTTGTTCTGCTGCTTGCCCAAAGTCATTAACATAACATAAAGCTCTTGGTAAAAAATGGAGAACATTTTTACCCTATAGTTTGATATGCTAATAATGTCATTATAATGACTACTAACCCTAAGATGTTCTTGTCAAATGTGCTTGATTACTTAAGGACTTATATGCTTAACTGATCATACCTTTTCCTTGATGTCACCTTTAAAGGCAAGAAGGGCACTGCGAGCATTGAAAGGATTAGTGAGGCTTCAGGCATTGGTTAGAGGTCATATAGAGAGGAAGAGAACTGCAGAATGGCTAAGTAGGATGCAAGCATTATTGCGAGCACAAGCACGTGCTCGTGCCGTGCGGGCCCAAATTTCCGAGTCTTCACAATCAAGCAGTAAATCATCTCATTTCCACCATCCGGTAAGTCAGAATTGCTCTTCCTTCCTGCGTTTTTTTTTTTTAATTTCTCATGGGAATTTTTTGCCAAGTACACCTGCTTCATGGACTGTTGGCTCCTTTTCTTTATACTTCCAGACAACTTTTAAATTTGCATGAATGGATTTATGGTTATAAACTGTAGTCAAGTTATTATTGACCCCAAAAAAAAAGTGAAACCAATTTGGAAGAAGTTGTGACAAGTAGTTGTGATGTATCAATGTTTCCAATTATATATATCATAAATTTAAATTGAAAAACATGATCATGGAGGGCATTAAATCAAACTGGTAGCAATGTTATTGCCAAAGGGATGTATGAGTTGTTTACCAAATGATGATGAATCTTTATCTTGCACATTTTATATCTTTAAGCGGTATAATCTTGAAACTTATTGCTGAAGGCAATTTGGTGAGCATATTATCTTAGATTCCCCGCATTTCTTTTTGAATCGACAAGGGTTGGTTGGATTTATTACATGGTCATATTTTTCCTTGTATATTAAAGTGATATCAAACTTTGTCTATTTTGTAATTGTCGGTGACAATGAAATCTTGTTTTTATACAGATTCCATCGACGCCTGAAAAATTCGAACATCCTATTCGATCTAAGAGTTCAAAATATGAACAATCATCAATGCTGAAGGTATGGTCTTCGCATCTGTTTGAATTTTGAACTTTCTAGAAGACCATTTGGTTTTGAACATACGTGCTTAATTAACTTGTTTCAACCATTTCAGAGAAATGGGTCAAAGTCAAGTGGAAGGACTCTTGATAATCATGATAAAATGCGCCCAGATTGGAATCAATCAGACTGTCGGATTGATGGACAATCATGGGGCCAACGAGGGCATTCAACAAGAATTGGTCCTATGGATGATGAAAAGAATGACAAAATTCTAGAGGTCGATACTGGGAAACCGCATTTGCCCTCTAATCGCAGAAACCTATTTCACTCTACACATCTTGCTCTGAACTCTGATCTATATAGTTATAGTTTCACGAATTCTAGAGACTCACACCAAACAGCTCCAAGTTCTTCATTTGGTGAAGTACAGTCTTTAAGTCCGTTGAAATTCTCTCATGAGGTCGAGGAGAGCCCTTCATGCGCCGCTAATGATAGTCCCCAATTCTATTCTGCATCATCAAAAGGGGGTAGTTCTAAGAGAAGCCCTTTCACACCTGCTAAGAGTGATGGCTCAAGAAGCTATCTAAGCGGTTACTCAGACCATCCAAATTACATGGCTTACACTGAATCTTCAAGGGCTAAGGTGAGGTCTCTCAGTGCTCCAAAACAAAGGCCCCAGTGCGAGAGATCTAGTTCAACAAAGAGGTATTCCATTCATGGTTTTGGTGAATTGAAATCAAACACACAAAGGTCTGCTTTGCATGCAAACTTCGCCAGCAAAGTATACCCTGGGTCAGGTCGCTTGGACAGGCTTGGAATGCCCGTTGGATATAGTTACTGAATAATGGTTTCAAGAATGTCCCTAGTAATAATTTGTTTGTCTAATATACATTGCTAACTAATGTGCTTAGTAGTTTTACCTTATGCTTTAGGATTGTTTAGCTTTTCATTCTTAGGTTTAATGATGATGACTCTGACCTAGCTCTATGACAACTGTAGCCATCTTTATGTTTTAGTGCATGTGACAAACAACTTCCAAAGACTAGCTACTCAAACAGTGCTTTACAGGAAGTTTACTTATGAAGGGATTAAATGGGGTTTAATCATAATTGTCACTTTGTCCTTTTTTATCTTCCTTTTAATTAAAAGTAAGTCAGGTTATTCATTCCTGCTTGTGACTCCTTATGCAAGTTTTGCATGTTGACAAAACTCAAAAAGTTGAAATCCTGAAAAGTTACATTAACATGTGAACCGCATCTGGCTTCCCACTTTCACCACTATAATCTCCTTTTGCAACCTTAAAGTTGTTGAACGTTTGTTGTTGCTTCTCGAATTTGTGCATTTATACATTGATACAAGCGGTGAACTCTAAACTTTTAGTTCTAAATTTTGTAGATTTGTCCTTTTCAAATTGCAAGAACCTATTGGAAAGTAGGTAAAAAAACTGAACTTACGAAGCAACCGGGGTTTTCAAGATGCATGCCCCACTTAGATTACATAGAAAAGTTTATTAACCGGAAGATTTTGGGATAGATGATATCGGTGGGATTACCATGTTGACCTAAAAGCTTACTCGGGTTATGGAAATACTGTATCGTATGCAGAAGTCAAAAATATCTTGCAATCGATAAGCAGAAGTGTCACGGGTCGAGACTTAAATTTCGAACTCACGCGATTTTGAGATTCGAGCATTCACCCTTTCGACGTCTCGAATCAGTCTGACCGTCACGGTTCACACCCTTGTGAGATATTATCCGCTCTGACCCCCTTGGTCTCATAATTTTATCCTACAAAAGACGCCTCACAATGCAAAGTGGTGTGAACCCTTCTATACCTCAGTGACCCTCTTATTATATTCGATGTGAGATTCAAGACTCTTCTTTAGTTCCGTGACATTCCCCCGCACTCAACTTTGTGACACCCTCGTCACGGAGGTTGATCATCCTGCCTGCCTCCCTTGAGGTGTTTGACGTGGATCGAACGGTTTAGGACACTTTGTGACACTCTCATCACGGAGGCTGATCATCCTGCCTGCCTCCCTTGAGGTGTTTGACGTGGATTGAACGGTTTAGGGCTGATTTTGATACCACTTGTCACGGGTCGAGACTCTAGTTTCGAACCCGCGCGACTCCGGAACCCGAGCGTTCACCCTTCTGACATCTCGAATCAACCTGATCGTCACAGTTCACATCCTTATGAGGTATTATCCGCTCTGACTCTCCTAACCTTACAATTTTATCCTACAAAAAACGTCTTATAAAACAAAAATGATGTAAATCCTTATATATCTCAATAACTCTCTTGTTATATTGAATGTGAGATTCAAAATTCTTTTTTAGATCCTAAATAGAGGCATTGGGGCAGGCACCTAATGCCCTGTAACCCATGAATTGACACTCACCAAGTGCCAATGTATTACTCTATGTGCCGCGTGGCAATGATCATATCAGGGTTGCTCAAAGGCACCAATTGTTGGTACTGTCCTTTGGATATTTATGAGTGACGTTGAAAGATAAACGATATTCCAAGATACATCACAGATTTTGCTGTTGAAGCACTAAAACATCCGTCAGCAGCAACATCAGCTACGTAATGCTAGGTTTACGCAATGAAGGTCTCCATTCAAGCCAATTGGCAACGTTATTTACCCCCCCCCCAGTGATTTTCCTGGGAACCTAACATCCCTGTCATAAAAACACCGGCCTATCCGAACTTAAAACTGGATTTAAGGTACGCGCGTAAACCCCCATTATCAGAAGTCTGACGGGCAGAATTTGCACTTGAAAAGAGAACATGATCTCAGCAGGGACAAACATTGTGAAATCAAGTTAGGCTGCAACTGTAAGGAAAAGAAAAAAAAGAAATCCATTTGTCTATACTTTCTAAGTAAATTTGCATTGCGTACAATCATAACATATATATATATATATATCATGTATAAAAATGTCAAGCATACAATAACAGTGAATATCCTGATGCCCAAAGATAATCTCAAGAGTCAAAAACTATGCATATACATAGGCAAATACCAACTCAAAGAAATGAACAAATGAATAAAATATTAAAAGGAAATCAGGAAAGAATTAGTGAGCGAGGTGAAGTCTAGGTAATGTTCCATTAGTTTCCACAGTGCCATTTTGATGTAGGCACACAGCTCAGGTAATGGCACCAGCTGCAATGGTCGTTTCCATTCTCTCCTCTAAACAGCATTACCAACCCAACTGTGATGCTGCATCATTCAAAAGGAAAACATGAGATCTAATTTTTGTTTTCACTAGGAATCTGAAATATAGGGCAAGTAACTAGAAGAAGTGAAGAACCATCTATGGCAGATTTAGTTTCAATAAAGCAAGCAAAAATGAATATTTGTTTCACAGTCGACAGGCAAAAGCTAAATTAACAAGTGGGGTTAAAACTTACCCAACAAAAAGTAAAACCAGAGCAATGACCCAGAAAACATATTGGTATGCCTTGTACTTAGATTTTACACGAGCACCAGCAGGAAGATGCTGACGTCCTACCCACCCAAATTGGGGACGAAGCAGCAAAACAAAACCAAGGAGAAAGCCCGACAAGAAACCTCCAATATGTGCAAAGTTGTCAACATGAGGAAGAATCCCTACTGCTAAGTTGATGGCAATGATGATCACGAGTGTGATCAGAGCTGCAGCCTACAATACAAAACATTAATCTCGTCAATTACTTTTCAAGCCACAAGTAGAAAGATCTAGAATAAATACTTAAATGATACAACCACGACAAACATCAATATAGCAACAAAAACACAATCACCAATTACCCCCACTCTCCTTCCAACTTTTTTTTTCCTTTAATAGCATTGCTGTTATTTGGATCATGAGTACCAATATCTACTTATCTTAAGCTCCAAACATCAAGACAATTACTACTTTCCAATTGCATATGGCATATAAACACTTCCCTTTCTAAATAGATAGAAAACAAGGGCAAGTAACATACCTTATTTGTATAGATAGTCCAGTTAGTCAGAAGCTCTGATAACATTGCCCCAAGAAGGCCAAATAAAGCACCAGAGGCACCAACAGAAATGTTACGCTGAATGAAAAGAGAAGATAGTATGCTCCCACCAAAACCAGACAATAGATAGATAAGCCCAACACAAACTGCCAGTGGAAAGAACACATATCAGCTATAACACCGTGATGGGCCAAATCACCCTCAAGGTAGATATCAAAAGAAAAATCCGAAAGTCAAATTCATAAAATCCAGCAGACTCAGTACCATTGGAATGAACAAATCCATCCACCTGAGTAATGCAGTCAATGGATCATCTATAAGTCATTTTTATATGATATTTCATTTTGTTAACTGATCAAGACTGACCAAAAACTTAAACTTCAAAATGTCACATATTCCAAAACATATTATACTATAACACAAAATTTCCCTAAGGAGAAAATTTGGAATAATTAATCAAACATTAAAGAAAAGGAGAGATAACGTACCAAATCCAAATTGCTGTTCAAGGCGTATTCCAATGAAGACCAAGCTCAACATGTTTGCTAGCAAATGAATAACACCTGCATGAAGCCAGATGCAAGTGATAAGCCTCCATCCTTGATTTCCCTGCACTACCTTGTTCCACTCTAGTGCTCCCAATTTTTCCAATCTGAAGAAGAATGAGAAGAATGAATATTGAAAATTACAAGAGTTACAATTATCACCAATGGCAAGAGCTAACAGAAAAAAGTTGCTAGAGATATGAAAATAAGAGATCAGGAAAGATACCATGCAAATATACAGCATTCAAGTTTACAATTACTCTGTTCAGTCCAGTGAACAACCGAAAATATGTACATAGGCTTATTAAATGAAAATAGCCTAAACTCAAGTTCCACCTAGTTTCTGTCACAAACATTTGGATTTGCATTAGACCACTCAGAAACAAAAGTAAAGCTGCCTCTCTATTACCTTCATTAAGATCGCATGTCTTTTCCTACTTCAACTACAATAATACCATGCATCCCTAAATGAATAAGTAAGTAACTTCAATGACTCCCACACATGCATTCGTATAATTTTTATTAAAGTGAAACATTTTTTTAGATTGTTTAGAAATTATAACAAGTAAGGTAAACATGAATTAACTTCTTGATCCTGAAATAATATGCAACTACAATCCCTTTCTGTTCATTTACTAAGATTAAGGCAAGCAGCAACAGGTCATCCAGAACCCCTATGCTATCAGCAGAAAAACCCTCCATGCTCAACTGCTATAAGCTAGAAGAGGTTCATAATCATAAAATTGCCCCACTGCACTTCAGCGAGACAAAGAAAACCATGATTTTCCACAAACCAACCAATGAACTTTTGTTTACAACCCCAAATTGAGAATCAGCAAGCAAGAACAAACCTTACAAGTTTAAATGCTAACAACAAAATCAAACAAAGTTTCCAGTTTACAGTATGTATAATTATCCATCATCTCATAGTCAGAATCAAACTAAATGAAAGATTGATAAATCCTCTAGCATGATCCGAGGATACTCCTATAAGAGGATCAACTGGACTGAAGAAATAATTCCTACATAAACAACTTCTAGTCCAAACAGTTTCAGAAACATGCAAGCCAGAATCCATAACTAATCACAAAAAACTGACAAGCACTATTTTTCCCCTTTCTTTTGTTAGTTTTGATAATTAATCAATCAGATCTGGCACTTGGCTGCATAATATTGGCTCTTTACAATTGCAGGTGAAATTGAGAGTTGCAAAAGAAGCCTCAAGTTCAATTCCAACCAAATTCCCTATTCACTGCAGTTGATATACAGCTAGCATATCAAAAGTCTATAGCTCATGTATCACAAGTCTATGAATATTAGTAATAAACTAATAGAAAACACAAAAATAATGCATAAAGACACAAAATCTCAGAAATCAAAATCCCAGAGTCAAGCAAAACCAAACTAAAGACTCCAAAAAGTCTGTTTAAAATTAACAAAAAAGAAAGACATTACATTTAGAGATGTTAGATGGGACTTACGTATTAGAAGAAGGACCAAAGAGAGGATTTTCTTTCAAAGGCTGAAAAGAAAACCTGCCAAGAAACTTAGCCACACAGCCTCCTTCAAATCCCAGATTGTTCTTAGGACAATTATTGATATACATCACCACAACAAAAACAGCAACATTGGCCACCACAAACATCGGAACAAGCCATGAAGTCCATTGCTTTTCAGTACTTTCAACATGGTACGGAGAAGATTGGTAATAGTTATTTGCCCTGTTCTTCCCATTACTTCCTCCTCCTCCTCTTTCTAAATCCCCACTTGCCATTCTTCTTCAAAACAAAAACCTTTCTTTTCACTGTTTAATGGACAAATTTGTGATATTTTTTCTGGGTTTCTTTTGGGAATTGAAATGAAGTTTTATATCTATTTGAAAAGAGTGACTTGAAAGGAAAAAATTGATGACTGGGAATGAGAAGAAAAGAAAGAGAAAAGAGTTGGATTTTGCTTTGTATCTCTTCTTCTTCTTGTTATGTTTGCAGATTTAACCGTGGAAGTTAATATATGGTAACAAGTTTTTATATTCACGCTTTGGTTTGTAGGATTTGCAACTCCGTCTCTCTCTTTCCCCGTGGGTTGCTTCTCGGTGGTTTTTCAGTAAGGCGGTGGGTTTGATAGAGTAACCTGTTGTTCTACCTTGCAATAAATACGGAAGAGCTCAAGTTAATTACTCATTTGCCCTTTTTGTTTTTAATTTTTTTGGGTACAATTTTCATTTAGTAGGAATTTGCCAAAATGCCTATTATTATTGTTTTTAATTAATTAATTTTTTAAATTAGGGTACAACTCAATCCAAAATTGAATAGCATTGAAGCAAAACCTTGTCCACACGGTTTTAACAAAGGGAATCGCATCTGACAAGGAAAAGAAGAGGAAATCAAGCATTAATTGTTATTGTTTATGTGTCATGAAAAACGAAGCGGTTTTTTTTTTTTTTTTGGCGTTAAGAGGAGAGAGGTGAAATTATTCATCTAATGGATAGTAAAGCAAAACTAATAAAATAATATATATTTTAAGATATAATAAAAATATAAAGTATATAATTAAAAGAAATTAAATGTATAATAGTTCCTTAATTATATTTATAAAATTAAAAATATTATTTGTCAATATTAAAACGAATAATTTGTAAAAAGGAGATAGGGGAAGAATAAACGATCTGATGATCTAAAACATTAGTGAACCACAAATTAATAAAGCGATGCACTTTTCCATTCTTTTCACCTTTTGTTAAAGAGAATGAACGTTATGGAATGTGAATCTAATTTTTGTAATTATAACTTCCCTTTTAATCTTTTCCATGAAATGATTAAATGTGTTAGATTGTGAGTATCAAAAAGAAAATGTGTCGGATTGCGTGGGTTTTTTTTTTTTTTTAGATAATGTTAGATTGCGTGGTTAAACAAAGAAAAAAATCGAAACTGAAAAATAAATAGACAGGTCAAGTGGAAAAGTCGAATCACAGTTGGTTTGATTTGTACTTTGGTTACTTAACTTTTTGTTTTCGTCCATTTTTACTTAAACTTTAGTTAGTGCTGCATTCTTTGATCGAATTAGCTTACCAGCCGGCACCCCACCCTTTTTATTTTTTATTTTATTTTATTTTTTGATATTTAAGGAGAACAGCTGTCTACATTAAGAGAAAGAGACAAACTCTAATCTTAATATCTTTTTGAAATTATTTTAATCATTAAGTCAAATAATTGAAGATTTTTTATTTTTTATTTAGTTCATATTAACTAACTACAAAGTGTTGAAAAAAAATTATTATTCAATTAGAAAATGTTATATTTGCAATTTTATTATTTTATTTAAGAAAATAAATCACAAATTTCTTTGTTTATATTCAATATGTTTTAATTTTATAAGTAAAATTTATGCATCTGTCGATGCATCTTAAAAAAGATAACCTAACCTTTCAGTTATTGATGATCTTGCTTTTACGTTAATGACCAAAACGTTTTATTTATAATTTTTTTATTACAATTTTATAATTATATAATTTAATAAAAATTAATGTAGAAGTTCATTATACTTAAATATGAGGGTAGCTCAGTCATTTAAAGAGGAAAATAAGTGAATGGCAGGTGAGCTTTATGGAAGTTACAGAAAGTTTAAAGATGCGTTGGGATGATTTGATTTGGGTGGAAAAGGCTAACTCGATAATGGGAATTAACTAATAAGAAATTTGTGAAGCTGAGATTACGCGGAGGAGGCGGAGGAGGAGGAGGAGGAGGAGGAAGAGTTGTTTGTGAGAAGCGTGTGTGCGTGAGTGCGTGAAATGTGAATCTCCAAAAGAAAATGCGAAAAAATGTGAAGTGTGGGGCGTGAGTTGGAAGTATTGGTTGGTGAATTGGTGGGCTGGCTGAATCGGTTGCTTCGACGCTACTCTCTTTGGCTTTGCCATCTGCCCTATCTCTGACTTTCTTTTCAGTCGCTCTCATCCACCAAAAATAATACCATCCACCTCAACCCTCAGACATCTTATCCAAACTCAAATTAAATTTTCGTACAATTTCGTCGAAATTAAATTTTTTTATTTTATATATTATTTTAATATAATTTTTAATAAATTAAAGTGTAAAATAATTATTTTATTTTATAAAAATTTAAAATATATTTAATTTGATTTTTTTGAATTTTTTATTTAAAATTTAATTTAAACTTAATATATATTTAATATTTAATTTAAATTTAAATTAAATAAAAAATTGACTTAAATTGAATATTATGATTTTGAATCAATGAATCAATTTTTCTCTCATCTCTATCTCAAGGTTTTGATACGTGGACAAGTGTCCTTTTAAACGCACTTAAATGTAGTATTTGTATTTGTTTTGATTGCAAAAAAAAAGAAATTTCATTTTCTATATGTAACGTTTGTATTGTTTTTAACATTATTATGATTATATAATTATTAAAGTAATTTTATTATTTGTGGTTTAAAATAATTTTGTATGATTTACAATTATTAATTATAGGAATAAAAAATTATTGTCTTTGATATTATTAAAAATCAAATATAATTTTATTTATAAGTGTGAAAATAATCATATATATTGTAATAGTTACACACATTAATAATAATGTTGTTTAAAAATAATAATTTATGAAATGCAGTGCTATTTTATTTATTTTATAATAAAATACCATTAAATTATTAAATTAATTAATATATTTATTTATTAGATAAACTAACTTTTATAATATAAATTATGTAAAAATATTTAAATTAAAAAATAAAATTCTATCAAAATCATAATTAAAGAAAAAATAAAAAGATTATATTATGGATAAAACATTAAAAAAATAAAAAAATATACAAATTATTTTTGAATTTCTAAAAATAAATATTAGTTTTAAAACATAAAATAATTATAATTTTAAAAGAAAGTAAAATTTTAATTCACTTATTAAAAGATAATATTGATTATTAATAATTTTATATATCATTTTTTTTATAAAAGTTTTACATCTTTTATAAAAATTCGATTATCTTTCAAAATAATGATTTAATCATTCTTATTCATTCAAAATCATTTTTACATAAAATCATTAAATATTTATTAAATGTGATTATTAATTATCATGTATAAATTATCATAATTTTTCAAATAATTATCTCACCTCCAAACATTTTTTTTGTCCGGTGTTTTTTCTTGATCTGGTTTCATAGCTTTATGGGAGCAGTTCCACATCAATAAAACAACGAATCATGCACGCATTTTTTCTATTTAAATAAAACGGAGATGGATTGATAACAAGTGGCATTAAATTCGAGTCATTAGAAACCAAGTCGCTGTCTAACAGATAAAATAAAAGTATTTATCAATTATTTATATTAGATTGTCACCTTATTTTGATGTTGTGATCAATGAAGATCCCCGTATCTTGGCACCTTAATGAAGGTTCCCATAGTTCATATCATATTTTTATTTATTTATTTTTTAAACAAAAGAGACCATATCTAAATTAAAAATATTACGACGTTGCTCGGTAAAAATAGAATCTTGAGAATGGACATGATTTATCTATAGCTAATGGGCCGGTAAAAAAAAAAAAAAGTAGCTACTCTCTTCTGCCTCACCCCTGTAATGCAACCAAGTACTAGTTGTAGCTTATTTGCCCCGACTAAAAATTGAAGTTGTGCAACTCGTGAGTCAATTCATCTTAGTGCCCGATCGTTTCTGTAGACATGCGTTCAGTACGAGGAAAATGGCATCTAAAGTGAAACTATCAAAAGACTCGCCACCTTCATTCACTACTATGAAATGCAGGGGCCATGAAAGATAAAGCAAATTAGACAGTGATAAGCTCAGAAAATGAGCAACAAGTTCCCACATTAAAGTAACTTCAGCACTCCCATGAACAAAAGGTCCTCCGTATGCAGCCTAATACATCTAAATGTTAAAGCAACGACCTTAATCATAACGCCAGATGCAGCAGGTTCTAATTTCACTAACCACCTAACTTATGCTGCTTTACCAGTTTCACGAACTAGGGAAAACTTAGCCAGGAGACCACACAACTGAAGATATGAACCAACTCCATCACAGATTCTCAAATGTGCAAACCAGGTTTCCTGCAATTCACAAGGAACAATAATATTGTGTCAAAGACTAGATTTTGTATTAAAATGAAATAAATACAGCCCTAGCAAGATAGATATACCTTCATGAATTCCAGTTTCAAGTACTCAGCCATATCATAATTTTTTATTACTCTGAAAAGTGTTGTGATTATATCAGTTGGAGAATAGCCCAAGTCTTAGAGTTGCTTCAAGCTAAACAAGCATCATCAAATTTTCCTTCAAGTACATTGTGGACCATGTTCTTCACATGCAATGGATGGGGCTGGTCACAAACCTAAAAAGAAACCAACATTTTATAGCATTCCCAAAGTCGTATAACATACCAAATTGTTAGAAGTCTTTAAGTCATTCACCAACTTTTTCTTTCTTTGCCGGATTCACCAGCAAATTTAAACAATTCTTTCAGAGTAAGTAGACAGGATTCTACATCTCTTTCCTATTTTTTGGCTAACAAATGTAACCATCGATCACTATTTTTAGTGTGATAAAGTAAATAAACAAAGGAAGCACTCCTTGGAAAGGAAAAAATGGGTGAAATTGGCAACATGCAAAAGTGTTAGCATTTCATAGAGGCTCATCAATAACAATAAATCAGAAAGATAAAGCAGAAAAAAGTACCCTAAACAGGAGTTGACACTCTCTGCCAATAAATGCAGTAAGATGCAGGATCACAAAAAGAATTGCAGGAAAACTATTATACCTTTTCTGCACCTACTACCACCATGAGACGGCCTAGAATCTCTTGATCAGATAACCTTGAAAATCAGACAAGGGCACATCTGCTCTGAATAGGTACAATGATTTTTGATGATGTATTGCTAGCAAGAGCAAAACGAGTAGAGTTTGAATAAATTTCCATTGTCCTCCTCAAGTTTTGTCGTGCACCTGATGTCATGCTAACTGTTATAATATATATATATATATATATATATATGCATTAGATGCTCAATCCAAAACAAAAGTAAAAAACTAGTGCAAATGCAAGTTATAACAGTACCTATAAACTCAAAATCAGAAGATGCTCCTAG